AAATTTTCTTCCAGAAGCTCTTCCACTATCTCCTCTGTGGACTTCTCTGATTCTTCCTGTACTGGCATGCCATTAATTCTTAAGTTGTTCCTCTTCATATTATCCAGCATGAATCTTATACTCTCTTCAGATTTTTTTATCCTTTTTTTCTGCTTGTTCTTCTATCTTAGCAGTATTGAGAGTTTTGTCTTCCAGCTTGTTGGTTCTGGCTCCTTTCCCCTTTCAGTGTATTTTCCATTTCTGATATTTTATTATTAATCATCTGGATCTCTTTTTGCAGGTCTTAAATTGTTTCCAATGCTGTATCGATCATATTTGATCGCTCTTATAGTACTTTCCTCACTTCTTCCTTGCTTTCCTCCACCCATTTTCAGAGCGTTTGAATTTGTTTCCATATCAGTCTTCTGAATTCCTTCTCAGGCAAATCCAAACCTGCTCTTCCTCTTCTGGAGAACCTTTGTCTGTCTCCAGCTCATTTGTCTCAGTTACTCTTCTGTTTTTGGACATGTTTTAAGATCTTTTGTTGTGCTTTTTGGTCATTTCCAGTAGTTATGTGGGTTTTTAATGCTTAAATGGATATTTGTTGCTGTGTTGTTAAGCTTACTGGGTTGGGTGTCTCCTGGTGGATATGATCAGGAGATAGGCTTCCCTTTTCACATGTAATGCTTAGCAGCTGTTATTGGCTCTTGTCTCAATGGTGGAATATTATGGAGAATGCTTGTAGCTTGGTAATATGGTCATGATTGCTGTTTCTTCCTGGATAACATAGGGAGAAAAAGCCCCCACCTCCAAGAAAAATGAGTCATCAAAAAGACCAAAAGCAGAAGCAATATAAAAGCAGAGATTAAAAACCACCACTTTGAAACAAAAATGAAACTGTGGCCAACTGGCCAGCTGCCTTGCTACACAGGCAGTGTGTGTGCACTGCAGAAGCCTCCAGCAGTGGGTAGGGATATCTGCTCGCTTCCTAAGGCACCTCCTCTAGTCACCACTGTAGAGGTGCATAGATAGATATTGAGAAGTGATTCTCATGTGCAAGGATATTTCATTGCAGCATTATCTGTAGAGCAAAACATTGATAAGGAATATACAAGGAAATTGTCATTTACTACATGGAGTGAATATAATAATTATTTAATATTAATACAAATGCTTTATAGTTAAGTGAATTAAATACATATATTTATCTATCTATCAGGGTGTCTTGGTTTGGCACTGTAGGATAAGCACTGGATTGCTAACCATTAGATTGGCAGTTCAAACTCACCAGCTGCTCCCTAGAAACCCTAATACAGGGTCACTAAGAGTTGGAAGAGACTCTATGGCACTTAACAATAACAAAAACAATATATATCAGGGAAATTATATCTTCAAAAATGATACTAAATTAATAAAAAAAAAGGTTTGCACATTTAGCATGATACCATTTATAAAAATTAAAACCACACCAATTATACTATATATATTGTATGGACCTATATGTAATTAAAACAGTCTTGCTGTGGTTCTGTGGGTTGATGAACTAGACTGCAAAGTTGGTTTGAACCATAAGTTCGGCTCACCAGCTGCTCTTTGGAAACCTAAACAGGTCACTATGAGTAGAACCCACTTGAAGCTACTTAACAACAAATATGGAATTAAGGAGCCCTGGTGGTGGTAGTGGTGGTGGTGGTGGTGTATCACCGAGTTGGTTTTGACTCATAGCGACCCTGCATAGGGTTTCCAAAGCAGCAAATCTCTATAAGAGTAGAAAGTCTCATCTTTCTCTTGCAGAATCTCTGGTAGTTTTGAACTGCTGTCCTTTTAGGCTGTTTGGTAACCACTATACTACCAGAGCTTCTTAAGGAGCCCTGGTAGCATAGTGGATTACAAGATGGGCTGTTAACCACAAGGTTAGCAGACTGAGTCTACCAGTTGCTCCTCAGAAATAAGATAAGGCTTTCTGTTCTTGTAAAGATTTACAGGGTCACTGTGATTCAGAACTGACTCCGTGGCATACAACCACCACCACCATATATAATTATCAATCTTGGAAAAGCAGAGAACAGCAAAAAAGAGAAAGACCCCTAACAGATGGATTGACACAGTGGCAATAACAATGAACTCAAACATAACAATTATCGTGAAAACAACACAGGACTGAGCAGTGTTCCATTCTGTTGAGCATTGGGTCACTATGCGTTGGAATTGACTTGATGATACCTAACAACCACAAGATTTGTAATGAAAGTATAAAAACAAGGACACAAACGACTTACTTCAATTTAATTTCAGAACTAGAAAGAAGCTCAAAGGTGACTTCAAATTTATCTGGTATGTTATGAATCAATATGACAAATGTTATGAATCAATATGACAAAATGTTAGCCCACATTAATTCTGAATGATTTTTAAATGTGTACTTTCTACATTATCTTCTTTTCTGTATTTTTCTGTATGCATATTTTAACACTTAAACAAAATAACATATGCTTGGCATGATTAATATGTGATAAATCTTAAAATGATGTGGTGCAGTGGTTAGGCTGGCTGTTTGAACCCACTAGTCACTCCATAGGAGAAAGATGTGGCAGTCTGCTTCTGTAAAGAGTGTAACCATGGAAACTATTGGTCAGTGCTACTCTTTCATATAGAGTCACGATCAGTTGGAACTGATTCTACAGTAACAAGTTTGGTTTGGTTTTATTAGGTATCTCTAGAGCTTATATTTGATATTCACAATTGAAAACAAGGCAAATGTTTCCAGATAGAAGAGCTAAGACTTCATACATACATACAGCTAAGACTTCATGAATGTCTTCAACAGTCCAGCACACTAGTCTATATATTGTAGGGAAAAGACACAAGATTGAAGGATCAATAAGTAAATCTGATGAACTTGTCCTATCTTCTTTTCTTTGTTAGATATTGAGAAATATGCTAACGATAGTCTAAACTGAAGATAATGACGTGACTAGAGGCTAACAGGAACATAATCCTGTATTTCCTCTAGGAGCAATGGTTCAGTATTTGCTCATCCAAGTTTTATAATAACTTTATAGAATACAACTATCATGGATAATGGGAATCAACTGTATACGTAACACATTGAATATAGAACTAAGTGCTGAAAAACTTTTTTAAATTTCAGATTCAAACTTCTTGCTTTATAGATGAGGACACGTAGGCATAGGACTATAAAGTACTTAATATTATGAAAAAGGGATCTGTTGAGCAATTTACAAGTTTTCTATCATTCCACTTCTGACAGGTACTAGTTTTAGGTGCTATTTCTTACTGACTGATGTGTTAGCACACTACTACCAAGATTTTTGAACTGTGTTTCATAGAATCACAGGGAAAGAGGGAGAAGACTAAGAAGGCACTGAACTGAGCAGTGAAATTGGCTACCTCCTCTTCAATTTGTTGTTGTTAAATGCCAGTGAGTTGGTTCCGACTCTTAGTGACCCTGTATAGGATTTCTGAGGAGTGACTGGTGAACTTGAACTGCTGGCCTTGAGGTTCAAACCAACCTTGCAATTCAGTGCATTAGCCTGCAGTGCCACACTTCAATTTAGATCTACTTTTATCTATTTTATACATTCTGCATACAATTTTCATTATTTCTTTTTTTCTTTTCAATCTTTCTTCTGCTAAATAAAGGTTTACAAGTTATTTACTAGAACTTCACCAGGATAGCTAAGGTTGACATTTTCCACAATTTAGGCCTGGTTCTTTCTTGGGATTAAGCGTAGTCGTTACGAATCGGGCTGCGAACCACAAGGTCAGCAGTTTGAAACTACCAGCTGTTCCACAGGAGAAAGATGAGGCTTTCTGCTCCCGTAGAGATTTACAGCCTTGAAAACCCTGTACAGGGTCTCTAGGAGTTGGAACCGACTCCACGTCACATAACAACAACAACAACAATCTAGTTCTTAAACCTTGCGGGCATCTGGTGAACCTTATAGATGCTCTTCACAGAAAAAAAATCATAAAGGCAAACATTTTTTTCATCCCTCTTAGTGGCATCATGTACTTACTAACACCCATTAATAGTCCCTGGGTCCATAACAACAGTTCTAAAAGCTTTATTAGAGAACTTAAATAAGAAACTTCTGACTGGAAACAAATGAAAAATTCAGATGAATATTAGAGTGTGTTTGGAAAATATGGACTTTTCTAAAGTGCAGCTTAATTTGTAAAACCAGTTTTTCCTGTCTAATGAAAAGCAAAATCTTCTTTTGAACAAATGTCAAGAATCACTATGAAATACCCTTGCTGGTCACACTATTTTCCTTTTCATTCAGATTCGTTTAATGGATATCTATCAAGAATTAGTTGTAGAAGATATTACTCTAGAGCAAAGATAAGTGAAATGGCTTACATTTGTTATTGCTAAGTACTGTTGAGCCATTTCTGACTCACAGTGGTGGTAGTTATGCGCCGTTGAGTCTGTTGGACTCATAGCGACCCTGTAGTGGTTTTCTGAGGCTGCAAATCTTTACAGGAGCAGAAAGCCTGATCTTTCTCCTGCAGAGCAGCTGGTAGATTTTAACTGTTGGCCTTGAGGTTGGCAGTTCAGATTGTAACCCACTATGCTACCAGAACTCCTCTGAAATAACTAGTGATAGGTTTCCAAAGCTGTAAATGTTTGCAGGAGTAGAAAGACTTATCTTTCTCCTACTGGTGGGTTTGAACCACCAACCTTGTGGTTCTCAGTCCAGTGTTTACCTTACAGAGCCACTATACTCCCTACCGTACTGCATTGTTATTGCTGTTGTTTAGTGCTGTCAAGTTGGCTCTGACTCATAGCAACCCTGTATAAGGGTTCAGAGACTTGTAATTCATTATGGGAGCAGAAAGCCTCATCTTTCTCTCATGGAGTGGTTGGGGACTTCATTTGGTGCCATCTATTCTTGAGAATGTGGAAATGTTTTAATGCTTAGTAAATTCTACTACGTGATTCCTTTATCTCAGTGCTCAACATATACATGCCTCCCTTACTCTCCCTTTTGTCTTACCTGAAGCTGGATTAGGCCTGGCTGATTTAGGCCTGGGCTTTCTGTTCAAATGTGTTCCAGCACTGCATGTATTGTGCAGTTTAGTCAGAGGACAGTACGGATGTCCAGGGACATTAGGACTGTGACACCAAGGGCTGTGAGTGGGAAAAAGGGTTGGTGGGATTTCTTTTATTCTGTAAAAGAAAAAAAATAAGTCCAAATTAAACCCCAAAAACACTTTATAGCATTAGGGATGAAGGTATAATGAAAATGAAATCATGGTGAGACCAGAGAATATGACTTTCTCAAAACTTGAGGGGTAGAACTTTTATCATAATATTAGAAGCATTCACCTACACATAAATAAATCTGGTACCTCTACCCACAGCAGTTATTGATCCATGGTGAGTAGACCATGAAACTTCTAGATAACATACTGTTCGCTGTACCTCAAACCCAAAAACCATACCCTTTGCCATCAAGTTGAATCCTATTAACTACATGGTTATAACTTCTCTTCTTCTCTCCATAGCCTTGCCTCTGTAATAGTAGTGTCAGTGAGAAGTGAAATGGTTCACAATATTACCTAATGAAGACTGGCAGACTATATTCTCCTGCTCACTACCTTTTATGATTTTCACATGGGCTGTATGTTTATGTAGACAGTTATTACTATATTTGTTCATCAATATCTACTTGTCACCTGATCATTTTCAAAAGACAGCTCAATTAATAGTTGTGGGAAAGAGTCAATTAAAAAATAAACACACTGGGCTAAGTGGCATAGAGGTAAATGATGATGTATGCACAACCTTGAAACAACAGGGCTCTGGGATACAGGGATTGAGGCATGGTTTAAATGAGTGAAAGAGGGGAAATAATGTTAAGATGCTTGGCTGTCTTTTGAATCTTGGTTTCCCTCGCATAGCTTTGTAAAATAGACACTTGAGTGGGAGAGAAAAGAATAGCCAGAAATATCACCATAGAAAGCTTGTAAGTCCATCTTCAGCCTATAACTGATTCGAATATCTAAAATGGGGCTACAACTTGCCCAGTGAAGGAGGCTTCTGTGGAGCCTCTGCATTACATAAGACCATAGGTGGAATCCTGATCTTCATCCAGAACTTTCTGAGGTGGGAAATTTCCACTGAAAGGACAAGCAGACCAGCCTGCAGTAGCTAGAAGAACAGAAGATACTTCTTGAAAGAAAGACCAGCAGGAAAAATCAAAAACAATAATGTCAGTCTGATTGACTACTACAAGAACAAGCAAGTCATATGCCTGGGAGCCATCAAGGCAAGTGGTCAGGTCCCCTCAAGGCAAACCCCCTTTCAATACTAAAACTCAAGGGGAATACACAAGCAGGCATGTGGTCTTGCTGCTGACTCCATTGGTCACCGATAAGGGGAAAAGGGGTAAAACAGCAATGAAGTTGTGAGCTATCAATAGACTCCTGGGCTGAGACCTGGTTGGCCAGCAGTATGGCAAGGCCTGGGGACTCCTGGGCCCAGGGACAGGGACATGGCCACAGAGGACTAGAGTGGAGATTGAAGGGTCTGGCTGATAGGAAGTGAGGAGAGATGCACAAGAACACTAATACTTGCAGATAGTACCCATTTGACCTGGCGTCAATGGCTGGATGACTGGAATTCGACTAGAGGAAGAAAGAAGAGGAAAAAAAGTAATCTGCTACAATTTGATGAACTTGACCTATGCTTGTGGATGTAGTAGCTTAAAGGAGGGAACAAATCTTTACAACGAGGATCATTCCCACCTCCTCAGTACACAGGCTTGACAAGGATGGGCAACTTAAACATTGGTTACCCAAAATGAGGGGGCTACAAAGGCAAGAAATGACTGGGTTCCAAGGTTTCAAGAGGGTGCTGAGGAAGATAGAATCTCCACTGAGTGGTTTCCAACCTATCTGGACAGGAGCTAATGAAAGGAGACGGGGATAAGACTCTTGTGGTTTAATAGTGAATGATCGCTACAGGTCTGACTGTGAGTGTTGGAAATACAAAGGTAGATGTTTTGTAGCAAAAGGAGGGGAATGGTTGATTTTGCAGTCCAGGGGTGGAGGTCCCTGGGACTGTCAAGGGAGAGAAGCAGAGTGTGAAACCCTGTCCAGAGAAGCAGCAACACCTGAGATGGAGGGAGAGATGATGACCTAGAGACATGGAGCAGCTGGGGACTCTGGACTCTGGAAGGGAGAAGGTCTGTGTGTTGACGGCCATGGGGGCAGGCTTGCAGGGTGTACCCTTTGGTTGTTTGATGATGCATGCAGGGAATTGTAATCATTGCAGTGAAGCAAAGTAGGATAGGATGACTGTGGGGCTGGTGTTCTCCCATGCAGACTAACACATCATTCACAATGAAATAAATAAATAAATACATAGCTTCTTACCTCTTAAGAACTTGAATGCTTTCCGTCTGATATGGTGCAGCATCTCTCCCTTGTTGACCTTGTTCTTCTGTAGTTATTGTAGTTGTATATGTTGGTGACTGAAACATGTTACTTCGAGATGTTGTAGTTACAATTGAGCATCTATCAAATTTAATATCGGTCTCTAATTTCTCCCAGGCTTGCTTCCAGTGAATAGGAGTGTACCAGGCAATAGCCTACCAAAAATTGTTCATAAATATAAAATACTGTGGGTGTTAAGTAGATTTAAAAAATTTTTGCAATATAACTGCATCATTAAGCTGCACAAGAGGACTTCAAAAATTCATGGAAAATGGAATTAAATAATAAGGGAAATTTTCCATGAACTTACTGAAGCCCCCTCATATAATATACTTGCTTAATGTGTGAGGATGGGGAACAAAATCCTGGCCTTTGTTTCAAGGTTCTATGGGACATTAGGTTAGTCTTGGACTTGTTCTCATATGTAATGCTGCGTGGGTGATGAAGAATTGATTTCTGAACGTGCTGTAATATTCAGTGACGTTACTGAGAGAAGGGGTTATAATAATTATTAAGAAGTTCAATTTTAAATATTAAGACCCAATACTCTTGTATGCCAGTACTTCATTTTGGAAGGGATTATAATAATTATTAATAATTATCAATTAACTCCTGGAGTGGTACTGTACAATGAGCATTGGATTGCAAGCCACAAGGTCAGTGGTTCAAACCCACCAGCTGCTCAGTGGAAAACCTGTATAGGGTTGCTATGAGTCAGAATTGATTTGATGACACTTAATAATAACAACAGTAATAATTATTAAGCAGTTCAATTTAAAATATTTAAAACCCAATGGCACCTAACAACAACAACATTACTTGTATACCCGTGCCTTATTTGGGAAGGTACAGTAGACAGTAGAATTAGAGGTAGAGGAGTAAGCAGAGTCTATAGTTAGAAACCTAGGTAGGGGTGTTACAGAGACCTATGAACTTGACCACTAGAGCTGGTGCTTTTTTCACATCATGTTTACAACACGTATGTACAAAACAAATCCAGAAAATGTCTGCATAGAGACTATTATGTCTTTAGTCAGTTAACAAGGGAATGAAGCACCAAAATCTGCTCTAACACAGTGGCATCAGTAAGGGTGTGTGTCTGTTGGGGAGTGTGGATCACCAAAATGACCCTAGGCTCTGCAGTGGCTGTGCCTCTCACTTGACCACTGATCAGGGTTTGGACAGCTGTGACTCTACCACTGGTGGAGAAGAGGTTCTTTCCACCTTGGTCAGTGGGAGAGGGGAAGAGCTCAAGGATCCACAAGGGATGAGTCTGAGAGGGACCACACAATGTGGCTCTTGGCCCTCTGCACTGAACTGGGGGCTCTGTGTGTGAAACATGAGGTGCTAGCACACAGGGTGGGGAGACAGGGAGGGGAAGAGGCAGAGGAAGGGTAGGGTTGGCTGGTCCACCCATAGGGAGAGAGGTATGATGCCATTATCTAACAGACTAGGTGATATCACCATGACACTCTCATGGACCTCCTCTCGTACTAGGCCACCTTGCATTTGACTCATTTTGGTAATCTGTTTTATATTCACAATATTAGAGGTTGGGGTGGTGGTGGTTTATGCTATAACCATTTTTAAATCTTCTGCTAGGCCTGACAAATTAAACAGACCTAAAAACAATTTCAATAAGCTCTGGTAGCGTAGTGGTTATGAATCGGCTGCTAACCTCAAGGTCAGCAGTTGGAAACTACCAACTGTTTGGCAGGAGAAAGATGAGGCTTTCTGCTCCTGTAAAGATTTACAGCCTCGGAAACCCTGTACAGGGTCCCTATGAGTCAGAACCGACTCCACAGCATATAACCACCATCAAAAATACTGCGCTGGACTGCAAGGTCGGTTTGAATTGCAAAGTCTGCAGTTCAAACTTACCAATTGTTACTTGGAAACCCTATACAGTGTCACTATGAGTTGGAACAGACTCCAGGGCCCTTAGCAATAAGGACAATAAAAACACCACTAAGCATTATCAACTAGGCTAGGCCTCCTGCAGAGAAAGACAAAGATGAAATCCTTTTTAAGAATTTCAACTTCTTGGATCATAGAAGTAAAATCTCTTTCGCTGTAGATTTGGAGTGGGGAACATCTGGTCCTCAAGCCATATATGTTATTGTTGTTAAGTGCCATCGAGTCCATTCCAACACATACCGACCCTGCATATGGTTTTTGAGAAGCGACTGATAAGGCCTGCAAAATCATTTTGCCTGGCCCTGCCAAGGCAACCACAGTTCCAGCCATTACACTAGGGGTGACATAATTAAATGCCTGACCAAATACAGCATGCTAGTTTTTAAGTTGATAATTTTATTTGGTCTGCAAATGGTGTTATAAATATCCAAATGGCTGTTGGCAGAAAAAAAGTTTCCCCACCTCTGCTGTAGATCATGTTAGAAATCCTCTTCTTTCAGCAGCTCAACCATAGCCATTTGTATTGAAAATATGTTCATTATCTTTTTGGTGTAGTTTCCCTCAACTGGATTATAAATCTTTCCCATATAAGAGTAGTATCTTATTTCTCCCTGTATTATGGTGGTGATGGTTCTATGCTGTCAAGTCACTCCCAATTTATAGCAACATTGTATGGCATTTGCGAGGCTGAAAATCTGTCTGGGAGTGGTGGTGGTGGCGGCGTGCCATGGAGTCAGTTCCGACTCATAGCGACCCTGTACAGGGTTTCCAAGGAGCAGCTGGTGAATTTGAACCACTAACATTGTGGTTCAAAGTGACCTTTTGGTCCAGTGCATTAGCTGACAGTACCACTGTTTCTTGTTCATCTTAATAAAATAGGAGCATTATTGAGCTCCGGAAACATATTTATTTTATTTAATAAGTGCTGTCAAGTCGACTCTGACTCACAGTGACACTGTATAGTGTTTCTGAAGAGCAGCTGGTGAATTTTGAACCACACAGACTGTGTGGTTGAAACCAACCTTGAGGTTCAGTACTTATCCTACAGTGCCACACCAGGACTCCTATTTAATCTGTAGGATTGACTATTGAGTTAAACAGATGATTGCAGTCTCTGTGCCTTTCTTTTTTCTTTTTACAAGATATAGATTATTTTCTCTTAATAAACTATATAAGTAGAAAACAATTCTAGAGGCATGCTGAAACCCTGACTTTGTCTGTTTCAGCATGTGTATGGGAATGCACCAACCTGCCTTTTCAAGGAAACTCTAGCTGGCAATTATAGAGAGTGAAATCCAGTGTCACTGATGTGAAAATAGGAATAAACGTATATACATAAAAAAGGGACAACTCTGGACTAATCTTATGGTTTTACGCTGACTTGAAGCCCCATTTCAGCTTATTAAATGGAAGTGAATTAGCCACCACTTGTCTATGAATTATCCTACTGAGGTGGCTTGTGTGTTGCTGTGATGGTGGAAGCTATGGCACTGGTATTTTGAATATCAGCAGGGTACACAGGTTTCATTTGAGCCACCAGACTGAGACGCTCTAGGAAGAAGGAGAAGTGGACTACTTTTGAATGACTAGCTACTGAGAGCCTTTTGAATAGCAGTGGAACCCTGTCAACACCACAATCATTGAATATTGAAACATGATGAAGAGCACCAAAATATTGTCAGATACAGAAGCAGAAAATGAGACCCTCAGGTTGGAAGGCACTCAAAATATTACTGGAAAGTGCTAGCTCCTCCAAGTAGAGATGACCATGATGACAGGAATAAAGCTTTCGATACCTACATTTGTTGATGGAACACAACTCAAAATGAGAAGAAACAGCTGTAAACATCCATTAATAATAGGAACATAGAATGTAAGATGTATGATTTTAGGAATATTGGAAGATGTCAAAATGAAATGGAGAGCATAAATATGGATATCTCAGGCATTAGTGAGGTGAAATAGACTGGTATTGGGCATTTTGAATCTGACAATCATGTGGCTTACTATGCCAGAAATGACAAATTGAAGAGTAATGACATCGCATTCATCATCAAAAAGAACATTTCAAGATCTATCTTGAAGTATAATTGTACTGTGATAGTATAATATCTATAAACCTACAAGGAAGACCAGTTAATACCATATTATTCAAATTTACTCAACAACCACTGAAGTCAGTGATGATGTAACTGGAGAATTCTACAAACTTTCTCAGTCTGAAATCGATCAAACATGCAATCAAGATATATCTGTAGTCATTGGTGATTAGAAAGGAAAGGTTGGAAATAAAGAAAAATCAGTAGTTGGAAAATATGGTCTTGGTGATAGAAATGATGCTGGAGATTGCCTGATAGAATTTTGCAAAACCAATGATATATTCATGTAAATACCTTTTATAAACAACATAAAAACACATGAATCTCACCAGATGGAATATACAGAAATCAAATTTACTACATCTGTGAGAAGAGATGGTAGAAAAATTCCATATCATCAGCTAAAACAAGGCCAAGGGCAGACTGCGCATCTGACAATCAATTGCTCATATGCATGTTCAGGTTGAAGCTCAAGAAAGTTAAAACAAGTCCATGAGAGCCAAAATATGACCTTGAGTATATCTCACCTGAATATAGAGATCATCTCAAGAACAGATTTGATGTATTAGACACTAATGACTGAAAACCTGAAAAGCTGTGGGATGATATCAAGAACATCATACAGGAAGAAAGCAAAAGGTCATTAAGAAGACAAGAAATAAGGAAAAGGCCAAAGTGGATGTTAGAAGAGACTATGAAACTTGCTTTCATGGTCTGCAGTTCAAAACTACCAGCAGTTCTGCAGTAGAAAGATGAGGATTTCTGCTTTGGTAAAGTTTTACAGTTTCAGAAACCCTATACAAGATCGCTATGAGTTGGAACCAACTCCATGGCACACAAAATATTGAATTATTCAGGAGGCATTAAAAGAAGATGGAGGAATACACAGTCACTGTACCAAAATGTAATGGTCAATGATCAACCATTTCCAAAGGTAGCATAAGATCAAGAACCAATGGTACTGAGGAAGAAGACCAAGGTGCACTGAAGGCATTGGCAAAGAACAAGGCACTGGGAATTGATGGAATACAAATTGAAATCTTTCAACAAACTGATGCAACACTGGAGGCACTCAGTCATTTATGCTAAGAAATTTGGAAAACAGCTACCTGACTAATTGATTGGAAGAGATCCATATT